AAGAGAGAGAGAGAGAGAGAGAGTTGGGAAAAATTGGAGAGAGAGAGAGAGATTGAGTGAGAGAAAAATGAGAGTGAGTGTCAGAGAGAGAAATAATAGAAGAGAGAGAAGGAGAGGGGGACAGGGAAGTGATGGGTGCGGGAATTGAGGAGTGATTTGGGGAAGTAGGGTAGGGGAGAGAGATACAGAGTGAAATACCGCAGGGAAAAACACAGTAAAAATACACTTTTAAATAATTTAAAATATCAGAAAATTTATTCAAATAAATATTAAAAATTTCTGATCAAAATAATAGTAACAATAACGATAATGAATAATTAACTATTAACTTAAAAATTTTACCGAAACAATTAAATTTATAATTAGCAAAACTATTAAAATAATATAATAAAGTATTTTTAAATCGTAGAAAATTCTAGAGAAATTGGGAAAATACAAATACTCTTTAGAAAAATAATATTTAATACTTAAATGCCAAAAATATTATTTAAACCTGTATTAGAAATTTACGGTCATTACATCCTACCCCCCTTAAAACAAATTCCGTCCTCGGAATTAAAATAAAAATAAAAATAATGCAGAAAGAATCCAAGGATAGAGATATGGAACGATATCCATAAACAGAGGAGAATGTAAAATACAAACGACACAAGGTAAGATACAAGATGTGACAGCTAAGATATCGCTATCGCATTTCAGACTCGCAACAAAGTCCAAACAAATACTATGATACAAACATATTTAACTGTGTGAACTTGTTACACAATACTTGTAAATTTATAAGCAATCTAATCAGTATAAAGTATAAGGTAAGAAATATTATAGAATCAAAACAAACTTGTACACTATAAATAAACAATCATACAAATAATATACAAGCATTCATAGAAACAAAGCAGAAACATATTAAGTAAGAATAAAGTCAAGTAATAAAATAAATCTAAAGCAAACACAAAAATAAGTCAAACACAATAGAAATAGACAGAAACATAAGCAACATAATAAGAAAAGTTGAAAATTCTAAAATAGATAACAGTTTAAACAAAACATAATAGCAGGGTATAACAATGGTCAATCAAAAACAAAAAGAAATTTAATTATGAAAAACACAATTAATACAGGTTCAAACTAAGATATTAAAAACACAATGTAAGATATAAAATTAATAAAAGCGATTAAACGAGCAAAAACAAACATCAACAGGATCATATAACAAAATAAAATGATATAATAATAAGTATAAATCAAAGATAATAGGAAAAACAACCCTAAAACAATTAGAATAATAATACATACAAAATAAACACAAATAAAAGAAACAAGTGGAATATTAGAAGGTAATTGAACATAAACCAAAAAGATATGATATACAAAACAATACCAGGCAGATAATCATGGAAGGACAAGGTGATATGACACAACAACATATAAAAATGAATTATATGTAGTATATCACATCAAAAATAAAACAAATAATTATAGACGTATATCACAGCAATAATTATCGAAAACACACACTTTATATAAATATTATGACTAAATAAATGAAGCAGACTAACATGGACAAAGAACAAAACAAAATAAAAAGTAAGTATTAGAATGGATAAGAAACTGTATATAGAAAATAAGTAAGCAAAACACAAACAAAACTAAAAAAGATGAAATGATTGATAAATTAAATCAAACAATGATGATAGATGTAATTGGAAGTAAAGAATGAAATGAGATATACTAAATGAACTACTGATGAAACGTAAAAGAAATAACTATGTTAACTAATAAATAATATAACCCAAATAACACAATAAACTAATAAATTAATAAAATTAAAGATAACATAAAATGACATACAAGAAAACATATAACTTGATAAGTATCCAAATAATAATGGTAATAAAACACGTACATGAAAAGTAAAATGTAACCAAAATTATGTGGTAACATACACAACAAACATGTATAAATACATGTACAATACATAGAATTAATAAAATAAATGCAACACAAAATAAAAATAAAACACCATAACGTGACTACTAACAAAAATTGTAGCAAAAACATAATAAATATTAAATCATAATAAGTATAGCAATACATAAATTGAAACGAAAAGAATATGAGCAAGAATACACTGCATAAAATATAAACTCACTAACTACAAAAATATTCCGACTAAATACATAACCATAATACAATATGTAAAATCATAAAAATCAAAGCTAAACAAACACACATTGTAACAACCTTTAATAACCCTATACACAAACTATAAGGTCGTAACACCACATACTCACACCAAAAAATAACAACTCCTATTCGAAGAAAATATAAGAATAAAACGATATTGATATAATATGATCTACGAAAAATACAAAAGAAACAAAACAGAAAAGTAACACGATGTAAAATAACACAAGTCAAAATAATAAAAATACCAATCTGAGAAAGAAAAACATAATTGAAGGACTCAATTCATTCAAATAAGTAATGAACAAATTGACAGTATAAAACTCAAAATAAATTAACACATATAAAAATTGTAGAATACACTAAAACATAAATACTTACTAACAATACTAACTCTCACAAACATACTACTAGATAAAGAAGTATAATATATAAAAACAAAAACTATGAAAGGTAAAATAGGTATATAAGCAAATGAAAACATAAGAAGGGCATAATTCGGTATAATAAAAACACCGATATATTTTAGATAAACATGGTTACACAGTTGATACTAGAAAGAATGAATGACTATAAATCAATAAAAACAACATCGTAAATATAATAATCTACGTAAATACCCTATAATGAAAAGAGAATAGTAATTATAAAAGAATGAAAAAGTAAAACATAACACAAGAAACGAAAATAATGAATAGAGAATGAACAACAAACAATGATATAATAAAAGACATAAACATCTAAAAATACTATAAAATGAATACAAA